CCCATATTAAATAAAGTTTCTTTTAATACTGTTTTGTCTTTACAATTTTGTCTTTACGCAGAAATATCGAAATAATAAAGAACCTCGGCTAAATATTTTTGAGACGAGAATTTCGAGACAGGCTCAAATTTCAATTTCAAATTGTTCGATTAGAACGAAACAACATTTGCAGAGAAAATATGCAAAATATTCCTACATACATAAGCAATTGCATCCTTTTTAGAATTTCATATCATATGATAAACGTGCAATGTGATTTGGCGTGCACACATCGTAACAAACAAATTATTTTTCTATCCTATTATTCGCAATTAATTTGCACTTTAAGCTACTTTGAGTGGCGAGTTCACCTTGGCACTTATTGTCAGTGAATATCATCTTCTTAATGTATAGATATATATGCCTATACAATAATGTATAGAAATACATAGTTTACGACAGACGTACCTTAATGGATTTGAATAAACGTGAATCTCCAGCAGCATAAGTCTGAAGAACGTGACGGGCGGAGAATCCCAGGGAGCACAGTCCATGCAGTATCGGCCTCTCGAATCCCCCCATCAGAGCGACATTAGGATCGATATGCAAAGGATTTAAATCTCCGCTCAATCTGTACAAAGCAGCCTGTAAAGATAATACAGAGATGACGCTTGTCGTTTGCATAATTTAACACACAGAACGTAAGACACTCAAGACACTTGAATCTTTTCGTTATATTTATGAAAACGCAAATGGATGAACGAAAAAACAACTAAAACTGCTTAACTTTAAAAACGGACTGGTGTGGAGTCCGCCGAAATAATACATTAATACCGTGAAAAAAGATGCACAATAATAGAGTAGAGTATGTACCCCTTTCGATGTATCTTTTAGGATGTAAATACTAGTTTTGATACACCTCTGACATGTATTCTCTTTCTTCTTTACCTGGTCAACATTAGTCCGCTGCATAACCGTTGCATCTGGCTTTCGTGCGGGAGGATCAACGGTTGGAATGGCAAATGTCGACGATCGTTTTCCTTTAAAACCACCTGCACCGACGATAAATATAGATATCTGACCGCTCGACAGCTTCTCTTCGTTTGCTACATCGTAGGTGTCATCTAGAAAAATATCATGAAACATCAGAGGAAAGTCCTCTATTATGAGATAGGCTTCTAATATGAGATAGCAGGTTTTCAATATCAAAATTTAATCACAAATCCTTATTCACAACGATTACACGATCTAACAATGAATTTTCCACTAAACTGACTTCACTCCAAGGGCAATCAGTTCACGATGAAACTAATAGATGTCTATTAATTTAGCAGAATCCCTGCTATCTCATATTAGGAGCTTATCTCATAATAGGGAACTGTCCTCTACATGGGGCACTTATGCAGGC